GATGACAGGATTATTAATTCCACAGAGGGGACTGGCACCTGGGCATGGTTATGAAGGACTTCAGAGGGGTTGCATCTGAGACAAGTTTTAAAAGACCAACAAGAGTTTGCTAAGCAGCGAAGAGGATGGAGGAGATGCCAGGAGGAGGAGGGAACAGCACAAGCCAGGGCAGGAGGTCCCTCAGGAGCACTGGCTGCTCCGAGCTAAAGGCCGTGGGGGATACACGCGGGGGTCTGATTCCAGATTGGAAAAGTCCTCCTTCCATTCTGAAGTCTGAAAAACGCTTCCAGTCTCACATGATTTACTAGTATTTGCTATCACTTGATCCAGCAGAGAGTTCTAACTTGTGTAGGCTCGGTCCAACAGGGACCTGTTAATGTAATTAGTGCCTGAATATTGCCCGTGTTCATGTGAACTTCGATTTGCCTATTGAGATGGGTGGTCCTCTCTCCCATCATTCGAAATCAGTCCCACAACTTAGCCAAGGCCACAGGCCCCAGCTCTCAAGGTGCCTAGAGAGGTGTAGCAGCGGCCCAAGGGAATGCTTGGGTGAGCGGGAGAATGCAGACATTTCGTTTCTGTCTGGCCAAGTGGTGCCATTTGTTGTAGAGCTGCCCTTGTACAACAGCGAGTGACCACCACCACCACCACCAGCACCACCCCCAAAAAAGTGTGGTGGTGTGTGTGAGAGAGAGAGAGAGAGAGACCTGTACATTTTAATGGCTGTTCACAGTCCTTAGGGAGGGAGTTAGCAGCTTTGGCCTGGAGGCTGCTCCCCCACCTGTCTCCAGGCCCTGCAAGCAGCTGTGTGCGATGGAGACAGCCTCCAAAGAAAGAAGCGGTTCTGTCAGGGCGGAGGGGGCGGGGGTAACTATGGGATTCCTTTCTCACAGACTCACAGGGACAGGACCTGTGTAGCAACTGCAACAAATAGCAAAAGGGACATTAGTCAGGCTTCGTGTTTTGCTCAACTACATGTTAGGTAAAAGATTTCAAGACCCAACTCCAGAGCCACTTTAGAATGTTTTTTTCCGAAGGAGGAGACAGAGCACACGCGAAGCTGCGAGGGAATCGGGGACCCCGCACCCCGCAGGCGCACGGCGGGTTCCGGCCTCGGATGAAACGCACACAGGACCCTGCTCTCTCCGGGACCTGCAGTCCCGCGCACAGAACGCAGCACTTCCCGGGAGAGCGCCTCGAAACTTCGTGATCGGTTTTGCTCGGGGCTGAACAGCACGGGCATTTGTGAAGTTCAAGTTTTTAGAAAAGCCAGCAGAGGCGAGGTCTCCACCGACGCAGATCCAGGCGCATCTAGGGTGGCCAGGGGTGGCCGCGCCCCAGAGGACGGGGACCCGCGCAGAGAGAAAGAAACGAGCCGGGCAAGAAGATGAAAACCACAGCGAGGAGGTATTTTCGGTATCATTTTAATCACAAAACAGCACGAATGCGGTCTGTGCCTGCGTGCTACCCAAACGCCGATTTGAATACCACGGAACGCGAGTTTGAAAATTTCCATTTTTGTAATTTGCTTTCCTTTGTTCAAGCCAAGACTTGAGAGAAACCTGGCAGCCTTTCTCTGAGTCTGGCACGATCTCCCCTCAGACGCACTCGGTGGGTTGGGATGTGGAGGGAGACCGCACGAGAGAGAAGGGGAAAGAGGGAGAGAGAGCGACGGGGGAGGCTGCCAGAGAGCAGAGAGCAGGCCCGCAGCCGCCTGCCAGGGCGTTTGGCTCCACCTGCAGGAATCCGAGGGCAAACCCATCAGGCCCCTCTGCTTCCACCGACAGCAGGAGGGGCTGGGGGGTCCTCTGACCACCGCCTAGAGTTCCCCCGCCTGCAGGAATGGAGTGTAAGGACTTGGGAGGCAGGGATCTCCATCACCAGATCAAAAGCCACTATCAGATTCAGCACAGGGATTTATACTTGGAGGAATCAATACAGCATGCCTCCTCCTGCAACCTTTGGATTGATTTGAGGGTAAGGGCAGTGTCTGGTCCCCAGTCCAGGCTCGGCACCTAGCTGTGCTCAAGTGTTGAATGAATGAGTGGACAAGCAAATGAACCCGGCGCCCTGAATAATCAACTCTCAAACAAGAGACCGAATGTCATAAAAACAAACACCTTTTTGTTTTCCAGGTGTATTGACGAGTTGCGGGGCACTTTGTTAGTGGCCAGTTATTGCTTCAAGGACTCGGCACCATGGGGAGGAGTCCAGTGTTCCACCTCCAACCTGAGTAGCAGCAAGAACTACTCACTTCATCTCATGCCCTTATTTTACAGAGTAGAGGCCCAATGCATGAAATTAGTGTAAGGGGCTTGGCCCTCCCAGCCATGGCGGCTTGCCTCAGCCCTCACCCTCACAGGCTCAGCTTCATCTGGAAGGACATCTGGAAGGTCCTTTGGCTGTCTGATCTAATTAGCATATTACCCTTTTTATTATTATAGATGAGCAAACAGAGGCTGGAGAGTTTTTACCCAGGTCAACTGGTTTGTTGATGATAGAACTGGTTTGGAGCTAAAATGTCCCTGACCTTCTCTCTGGTGTTTGTTTTCTGCAGCAAGAGACTGATTCTGCCTTAAGATAGAGCGGCCTGTGTGAATACTCCCACTGATTGGCTGTCTCAGGAGGAAGTTGGCTTCCCCACCTACCTGTTGTCCTGTCTGGGAGCTTCTGTCCCAGCTTCCACTCTGGGCCAAGGCAGCTGCTGGGGAGGCTCTACTCCAAAACTCACTTGCTGCCTGGAGCTGATGCCAACTGGTGGCTAACCTTGTGAATTCATTTCCTAAAGCCGACAGGACAGAATCTTTAAGCTCACGGGGTTGGTAAGCCACAAACAGGCAGGTGCGTTGTTTTAACAACACAGGTGTCTTATATCCTATATCTAGCACATCTACTTATCCAAAGTGCTTAATAAGTAGTTCTTGAGTTTCCCAGTGATCGTTATAGATGGTATTTACCAAGTGAAAAAGAATTTTCGCTGTAGGCAGTTAGCACTCACTTTCCAAATAAAATTTTTTAAAAGGTGAGGATTTTACTTATAAATGGGATTCCATTTGCATTGTGTCAGATGAGTGTGATGCAGTGGAAGTTGGGAATCAGAAGATCCATGTTCTAGCCACAACCTGTCTATAAAATGGAAATAATACTGTGAAGGCCTTTGAAAGGAATAAAAATGAGTCATTCTAACAATAATAATCACAATATTCATGACAGCTTTGAACTATTGTGAAGTGCTTACTACATTGCAGGCTCGCTGCTAACCACTTTAAATGCATTATCTAATTATTCTCATAACAACCCCACGTGATTGCAGTTATTATCCCATTTTACAGAATGAGAGAAATGAAGCTCAGAGAGTTTAAGATCCTCACCTATGGTGGCAGCTTACAGTGGGAGGCCAGTGTTGGAACCCAACTCATATCTGACTCTGGGCTCTTAAACTTCATATTACTCAGCAAATACCTATTGGCTGATTCCATGCTGAAGGCATTCAAATCTCTACCTCTAGTTCTTTCTCCTGAGAACTCTATACTTTTATTTCTAATTACTGAAAGAATATCATTAATTGAATATTCCTCTACTGTTTAAATTTAAAAAGGGCCTAAACCAAACTCCTTTCTTCTGTTCATAAGCTTTACCGAGAGCCATCCATGTTCAAACTTCCAAACTTGGTCTAGGGCAGTGCTCTCAGCAGGGGGTGATTTTGCTCTTCAGGAGACAATGTCTGGAGATATTTTTGGTTGTCCCAACTGGGGGTAGGGTGGTGCTACTGGCAACTAATTAGTAGAGACCAGAGATGCTGCTAAACAGCCTACAATACACACAACAGCCCACCACAACAGAGAATTATTCAGCTCCAAATGTCAATAGGGCTGAGGTTGAGAAACCCTGATTTAAGAATATGAAGATGAATGAGACAGAGATCGCCATTAATCACCTGCTATAGGAGATGTATGTATAAATTTGAAGCACAGTTTACAAAGATACCCATGTGGTGACCAAAGAAAGGGCTTTGAGGTCCTTAAAGAGCTATGGGGCTTACTATGGACTGCAGAAGGCTTGTTGGAGGAGGCGGCACTTAGGCACAAAGAAGAGATAAGATCTGGATTCTGGTAAAAAGACAAACAGTGCGCAGGGTGTGGGTGTATGTGAGGAATGCTGGCTTATTTTAATTGGAGTGGAGGAGGTGTGAAGAGGATTAGTGGAGAAAAGGAGACTAGATCAAAGAGCCTTGAGTGCAAAGAAAAGGACTTTAGACTTTATTTGTAAATAATGGGAAGCCATCTAACTTTTTTTAAAGAAGTGCTTATTGATTTTTAGAAAGAGAGGAAGGGAGAGGAGCAAGAGAGAGAGAAACATTGATGTGAGAGTGTAACAGCATAACATCCATCGGCTGCCTCCTGCACGTCCCCCACTGCGGATGGAGCCGACAACCTGGGCATGTGCCCTGACTGGGAATCGAACCAGCAACCTTTTGGTGCAGGAGATGCTGTGCAACCAACTGAGCCAAACTGGTCAGGACAGACATCTAACATTTTCACAGGGGGCAGTAATGTGATCAAAATGTTCTGGGTAGATGAATCTAGCAGCTGAATGAAAATGAATTGCACAGAATAAAAAGCTAAAGACATAACACGACTGCCATAGGTCTTACTATTTAAAAAGAATCACTTAGCTATTTTGGTTATTATTAGTAATAACCAATAACTGAGTGATTATTGTAATACAAAGCTAAACTCTCTCTCTATATCCTTACTGAGTGCTTCCCACTGTCACAAGAATTCCCCCCTTTGATAGATAAAGGGACAGTCTTAGAGTGGCCAGAAAGTGGCCGAATCAGGATCTGGCTTCCAAAGTCTGTACTCCTCACTGCTTTGGGTGCTGGGTACACGGCTGGGATTCTGAACCTCTTGACCGATCCAGATTGTTCTCCTTCCCAAGACAGGTAAGAGCATGAGGCAGCCCAGACCCCTCTGAGAATGGGAAGGTCCAGGACAAAGAGCCCCGGGAAATCTGGTTCTCCTTGGCAGACAAGGCTGACTGTCGGAGAAAGGGAGTGTTTCTCTGGGCTAAATTTTTTTTTTTGGGGGGGGGGAGCACACCTCACAATAGGTTCTCTAAATCTATTCGGAGTTAAATTGGTTCCTCCCTGGGGGATGGTAAATGAGAATAAAAAGGGGACACGGTCTGGGGTGTCTGAAGCAAAGATGGAGCTTCTAATGTCAGGCCTCCCCTGCCTGATGAGGTAGCAGCAAGTAGAAGACAGGGAGTGGGGAACAGAAAGGCTGTGACTCAGAAATTCCCTGTTTACTTGGCTCCTGAACAGAGTGGTAACTGGATCCAGGTGTGTGCTCTGGTTTTGTTTGAGCCTTTTGGCCACAGGCAGGGAAGGAGAGGAAAGGCGCTGACCGTATTTATAGACAGAGTAGGGGGCTCTATCAGAATTGGTGGAGGCTCTGACAGAGGCCCCAGCGGCTACAGTGGGCCTCGGTGGGCCTACAACTAGACCTTTGGTGGTGACCAGGACACAGCTTTTATCATGAAAGAAGATGCATTACAAGGGGCTAAAGAAGGAAAGGGCCAGCATGGTGGGCACCACCGAGTAGCCAAGGATCGGTAGGTGGGGTACATGTGAGCAGCTGCTTGAAAATGTCCAGGACGAGCTGAGAGGAAGTGAGGTGGTGGACATTCTCCCGGAGCAGGCAGGGGAAGAGTCAGCTGCGGATGGCGTTTGGAGGCATCCCTGTGGTGCAGTGTGACTCTTCACTGCAGGATAATCTTTAAACTGTTTTTGGAAAGTTTGGGATCTCCAGTTTTAACGACAAAGGCCCCAAAAGTCCAGGGTCCCAGTTCTTCTTTCTAAAATCCCACCACTTTAAAGGAACAAAATTTTGCCACAATCTCTTAGATTTTGATATTCCAATAAGTAGAGTCTTTGTTGTTGTTGTTAATCCTCACCTGAGAATATTTTTTCCCTTGCTCTTCAGAGAGAGTCAAAGGTACATTTGACCATACACAATCATTCCTACTAAAAACACAGTAGCATAATAAGAGCCAAGAGGAACATAAGGACGAGCACTGCAAGTGCCGGACTGGGGGCAGGGAGAGAAACCATAGCCGAGGTACATACTCTTGACCAGGAACCGAACCTGAGACCCTTCACTTCCAGGCCAATGCTCTAACCACTAAGCAACTGGCCAGGGCTTGAATGAGTAGACTTTCCTCAAGGTCAGTGATTGGCTCTGTAACACCAAACTCAGGAGGTGCTCAGAGTAGCTGCTGAGTTTAACTCAGCCCAAGCTTCTTCCAAAACATGCAGAGCATACTTGAAATGCATTAATATAATTTTTAAAGCCAAATTTTTATTTTCACCTAGTTAAAGAAGAAAAAAAAGGCTAACCTCATGCATCAATATGCCTGTTTTCACAAAGCCTTTGCCCACAGTCTGTAAGTTGTCCTAATACTAAGACCAAAAGCCAAAAAGCAAATGTTTTTTCCTCGAGAAAATCTGGAAGAGGTAATTATACTAAAACATACTAACTCAGAAGGATCTGTTTCACTGTTTTTGCTTGTGGAAGTGGCATAATTAGCCAAACATTGTCCTGAGACAAGAATAAAAACCAGAAATCAAGGTTCTCCTTGCCATGGCCTCCCTATTTTGTTGCCCTACATGACGTATTCCTGATGGAAATGAGGCTGTAGACTACAAGCACATTTATCAGGGTTTGAGGGTCCCCAGACAGCGGAAAACATCCCTGATCACTTCATACACACCTCACCCTTGGAACTAGTGTGCTTGAATCCAATCTGCTGACACTATATTACTTAACCTTGAGGTAGTGCGTTGGCTGAAAGTCTTTATTGAGGACCTACTATGCAGACAGTGTAGAATTAGTAGTTCTAGAGTTAAGGGGGAAAAAAGGCCAAAATAGGACCCGGAACCCCCAAATTTGGCTTATAAGCTAGTTGAAGAAAATGCAGTAAATATACATGATTGAAAGACAATATTTGTTCCTCAGATACTTTCTGGGTGCCTACTGTGCGCTAGGCCTCATGATAGACCAGAGGTCGGCAAACCACGGCTCGTGAGCCACATGCGGCTCTTTGGCCCCTTGAGTGTGGCTCTTCCACAAAATACCACGTGCGGGCACGCAGGTACAGTGCGATTGAAACTTCGTAGCCCATGCACAGAAGTCGTTTTTCGGCCTGGGCAAGTCTATTTTGAAGAAGTGGCATTAGAAGAAGTGGGGGGTGTCGGTCGGTCGGGCGACGGGAGACTAGGCGCAGGCGGGCCACGGAATACACAGCGCGGGAGAGCTACATTGTTTTGAGGTACATTCGCTGAGGTCAACCCCTTCCAACTCTCCCATCCACACTTGTCTATCTGAAACAAGTATATAAGATGAGTGTGGATGGGAGAGTTGGAAGGGGTCGACCTCAGAGAATGTACCTCAATCAGAATGAGGACGTTTTTAGCAAAGGCCAGCTTAGAAGTACCGACTTCTAAGTAATTAAGTTAATAGCAATGTACCGACCTATATAGTTTAAGTTTAAAAAATTTGGCTCTCAAAAGAAATTTCAATCCTCCTCCTCTCCCTCCCCTTCCTCCCTGGAACCAAACCTAAGACTCTTCAGTCCACAGACCAATGCTCTATCCACTGAGCCAAACCAATCTGGGCTCTTCTCCTCTCTTCTTTTTCCCTAGCAGAAGGAATGGAGAGCGGCAAGTGTTTTGAATCCGTACCAAAAGGAGGGAAAAAGAACTCTACTTGGACGCAGAGCGGTCCAAGTAAGAC